AGGTGATGGAGAAAGAAAATTCATGGATGATATTTTCAGAAGCACAAAATTCAGAGAATTTTGTATTCTCAAACTCCTTGTCATGGTCACTTCTAACCTAGACAATCATATTATTCTTCTCCTCTTGAATACTTTGACATGCTTTTTTGAAGACTTCAAAGGTATCTGATTTTTCTATAAGAAAGTTCATCCATGTAAACCCAGAAAAATCATCTATAACCACATAGATATACCTCTTTCAACCCAAGCTTTCTACCTGCATTGGTCCTATTAAGTCCATGTGAAGAAGTTCCATCACTTTGGAAGTTGTCTGATGTTACAACATTAGATGTGACATCATGTTTTACTTCCTAATTTCAAACTCACTGTAGACTTTCCCTTCTTCAACCTTGAGTTTTGGCATTCCTCTAATGACTCCTTTAGATATGATTTCCTTCATTCTTTTGAGATGAAGGTGTCCTAGTTTTTTATGCCATAGCTTCACTTTATCCTCATTGGTTATTGTACATGTGGAAGAGTAAGAACTTATTTGAGGTTCCCATAGATAGCAGTTGTCTTTAGACCTTATACCCTTCATCATAATAGCATATTTGTCATCTTTGACTAAACACTCTGACTTGGAGAAATTGACCAACAGCCCTTGATCATACAACTGACTAATGCTAATACGATTAGAGGTTAGTCCTTTCACAAGAAGAACATCTTCTAAATTAGGAGAACCAGCACACACCAATTTTCCCACTCCTTTAATTTCTCCTTTAAATTCATCACCAAATCTGATAGCACCTGTGGGCTGAGACCTAATATCCACTAACAACTTTTGAACTCCTATCATATGTCTAGAGCATCCACTGTCAAAGTACCACTCTTCTCTATTTGAAGCTCTCAAGGAAGTATGATCTATAAGTTTAACATCCATAGTTGTAACACTTCTCTTTTTGCTTACTTGACTAGCCTTAGAATGAGCTAAATATTTTTTTATCTCCATACAATTTAAAACAAAAAGATTTTATATGACCATATTGACCACAGTAATGACATCTCCAAATTGATTGAGGTTGATTTGGAGTTTCATCATGTCTGTCAAGATGTTGTAACATTTGAGTGGACATTGTGATCATTTTCTTTCTTTCAAAAAGAAAGAACTTCTCTACAGACATTCTTCTTTATTTATCATCATATTGATAATGAACTCAAGTATCTTCAGCCTCTTTAACCATATTAGTTCCATTTTTCATCCTTTTTGAGGAATTTTTCAAGTTGTCAAGCTTGGGATTTAAGAGAATTACCTCATTTTGTAGATGAGAAACAGTACATAGAAGTTCCTTCTTCTCATTCTCCAAATCAACTATGATCCTTTTCTGATCTTCTACTATCTTAAAGATTTCTTCAGACTTGACACAAGTTTTCTTGTAGAACACATCTAGGTCTTCATATAGGACATTTTCATCACATGATTCAACTTCATATGTCAATCTTCCAGAGAGAGCATTCACATATTTGATAGTCTCAGAAGTAGATTCATCTCCTGACTCATCATCATCAGACCAAGATACAATAAAGCCTTTTTTCTGCTTCTTGAGAAAGGTTGAACATTCTGGTCTAATGTGACCAAAACCTTCACACTCATAACATTTAATGTCTTTACTTTAATTGGACTTGTCTTCAATTCTCGTACTCTTTTGAGAATCATCATTGCTAGTGTCAAATGAGATATGCTTGACATTTGATCTTCCTCTTCCATCCATTCTCTTCAAAATTCTATTGAATTGCTTCCCAAGTAACACAATGGTATTGGACAGTTCTTCATCAGTATTCAGGTCAGCTTAACCTTCTTTATCTTCATAATTGAATACAAAAACTATGCTTTTGTTCTTTTTATCAGATTTGTCACTAATAGTCAATTCAAAAGTTTGAAATGATCCAATAAGTTCATCGATTCTCATGTTGTTGATGTTATGAGCTTCTTCAATGGTTGTCGCCTTCATGTCAAATTTCTTAAGTAAAAACCTAATAATATTTCTAACAAGCTTTTCTTCTGACAATTTTTTTCCCAAGGCACTAGATGCGTTTGCTATTTCAAGAACCTTTATATGATAGTCTTGGATGTTATCATCATCATTCATCTTTAGATTCTCGAATTTAGTAACAAGAATCTGAAGTCTTGACATCTTTACTTTAGATGTACCTTCATGAGTTGTCCTGAGAATTTCCCAAGCATCCTTGGCTACAGTGCCGGTATTAATCAACCTGAATACATTTTTGTCCGGTCCATTGAATAGAGAATTCAAAGCTTTAGAATTTCCAAGAGATAATTTATCATCTTCTTCAAATTAATCTTCCTCTGGATTCAAGGAGTCATTCTCATTTTTGCCCTTCACAACAGGATGACTCCATCCTTTCAAAACAGTCTTCCAAGATTTGTTGTACATGGATTTCAGAAAAGTCACCATTATAACCTTCCATCGGTCATAATTTGAACCATCTAACAGAGATAGTTTATTGTTGTATCCTCATTCCTTGTCTATAATACCAGGAATTATTCTTCCTAGAGCTCACCCAATAGACAAAACAAGGTGTTTGCTCTGATGCTCATTGAAATTCAGACACTTTAAAACAGATGTCAAGACTGATATTCCAACATCAAAACACAATATCAAGACAGATGTTAAGATGTCATCTACTGACGGAACAAATTTTACCAAAATAAAATTATGCAGAATTAAATTGCAGAAGGTAAAAGACACAATCAATTGTTAACCCAGTTCAGTGCAACATCACCTACTTTGGGGGCTACTAAGCCATGAAGAAAATACACTATAATAGTATTAGTTCAAAATCTAACAATCTCAGTTTATAACTTATCACCTAATCACTACCCTATGCAATTTCTACCTAGGAACCTCCTAGGTATGAGAACTCCCTCTCACTTCCCACAATCGCCTCAATGATAAAACCAATCACAAACTATTGACAATAACCAAAACAGAAGATTGCACTTCCAATAAACAATACTCAACTCTTTGCTTAAAAGCTCATGAGTGAGAATAATAACTTCACACAATCAACTCTTTGCTTAAAAGCTCATGAGTGATGATGGACAAGTAACAAATCTTCAAAGTTTCCTAAAAAGTCTATAAGATCTTTTTTATGAAACCAAATCAAATTTGTATTATTTCTAAAATATCCTTGCTTGATTGCGCCTGTAGAGAACTAGAATTATCCAGAATCTCATATTTTAAAATCAAATCTTCAAGGATTTAAACAGCTATATTGTTATGATGTTCTAATATAATATATCACAACATCTATCAGAATACCTGTCAAAAATAATAACAGTAGACTCTACTGTACCAGTTGATCAAGATGTCATAACATTTTGCTGAATATTAGATTATGATACATATTTTCAAAATGAAATATATTTTATCAAAATTGTTGCCAATGAAACTCTTTATTCAGTGGCTTATAAAATCCTATACACATATCTAACAATGCATATCACCTCCTTTTTGCAAATGACATCCCTTTCACTCTGAGTTTATGTTCCAATTAGGGTGTTGGACTTTTTCTTCCATCACAAGTCTCTTCCTTTAATTCAATAAAAGAAATATGACAATTTTTAATGCTATTGTTTCTTTAAATGACTAAGATAAATTAGATTTTCTTTGTAATTGTTTCATTCATTAAATTAAAAGGTTCGTCTATTTTTGTCCTAATTGATAAGAAAAATTGAATGTTTGATCTTGCTTTGATTTTGAGACCACAATTAATAGGAGGTGAAGGATGAAGACAAAGCTCTTGTTGGAGTTAGCTTTGAATGAATATGATGCTCGGATTGGTTTCTTCATAATTAAATATTAGAGTTCATATATCACTTTCATTTTTTTTCATATTCTTTTGCCAAACTGTCTTTGCTCTACATCCAAATATTAGCATTCCGAAGAAGATCAAAGTTTTTCTAATCCCGTCAAGCTAAATTTTAATTCTTCTTACATCACAATCTAAATCGTTCGCCATTTAACAGTTGTAACATATTTAATGATAGAGATGTGATTGATCGACACTGGAAATGTTGCCGGTGAGGGTGCCAGACGGGGACATGTAGCAGAAGAGATATTAGTGAAATAAAGAAAAGAATGAAAAATGAACCAACCACATGTACCCGATAAAATGAATTTAATTATTGATATATTGAGATGCCCCCGATAAAATGAATTTAATTATTGATATATTGAGATTCCAAATTCAGCAGATAATAAAGATTCAATACCCAACTAGATTTTCAATCAAGCATATAATGAATAAGAAAGGTTGAAAGAATGTATTCTTAAAACATTTATACTACTGCAATACAGAAAATTAGCATGCAAAACAATTATATATATTATATAGATTTTGAGAGTGCACGCAATCAAACAGTGAACAAATTTTTTGGCACGGACAGAGAGGACTTAGGTCTAATGAATCTGCAATTAGGCAAACAGCGCCATTTGTGCAAATGAGCAAACAACTCATTGTAATATTAACAAAACCATCAGTTTTTACCAAGGGACAAGAACGCCCCTTCAGTGAGAATCCAAATCTGCATTAAACAAGCACCAAAACCAATTACCAAAATATAAAGGCACACATCCAAATTGATACTTCCCATTTTCCATATAGCTCCAGCTTACTTACAAGGCAGAAAGAGAGTAAAGCAAAAGGATGCAAGACTAAAATTGAAAATAGCATTGTGATAAAACTGAAAGAAAAATACTACTTAAAAGAGTTGCTTTCAATATTTGACACACACAATTTCATCATCAAACAGCATCCCTTCAGCACAGTTGACAAAGTAAGACAACAAAACAACTCTGAAGCCATAGAGATGGAAATAGGAAGCTTTTTAGGGCATTCCCCAACATGTTCTTGAATTCAGAAGGATCCGTGAAGCATTACACACTATAAATTGCATACTGCAAATGCAATATGATCCAACAACTATATCATCTTGGATGTTAAAAGTAAGTTCCTTCTGGAGGCTGGACAAGCTTACGGTTATGAGGAGCGGCCATTTCTTTCTTCAGCTGGGTCAGTATGTCCTCCATGCTGTACTCTCTTTGCCAATTTGCAAGAAGCCCAAATTTCTTTGGTTCAACCTGTTTCATAATAAAAAAATTTATCAAATCTCTAATAACATTGGATTCAACATTATTACCAGAAACCAAAGCAATTGTGTTAGCACAGTTTGCAACTTCATATATACTTCAAAAGGATGAACTAAAAAATAGTTAGAAGATGAAAGCATGTGGAATTTGTAACTGATACCACGCCAGTTTCATGGTTAACACAAGTCATATTGATTCGTGAATGAAACCGAACACTTGGAGGCTTTTCTGGGTAGTCTTTATCACAAAACAGCTTCAGTTGATAGATTCTTCCTTCATGTACAGTCTGACAGAAAAGACAAAAGAAAGATAATTATATCAACTGCAAGCAACCTGTTAAGTATACCCAAAATGAGAGCAGATACAAATATACAGAAAAATAAAGTTTCGCCAAACTTTCAAATTTCAGAATAAGGATAGACCAATAATTCATACTCCATATTTCTTTATGATGCTGCATTAATCAGGCCAAACAAAAAGAACCGATAGGACATTCCAAAGACATGTCTATGTATATTAAAGAATGCTAATAAATAATATCGTATAAATTATATTATAACCATTGGAAATATTAGGAGAATTGTAACCAAACTTTTAGTTATAATTTAATAGCGCTGGACAATATGCTCACTGCAGTTATAGAATGACTGCCAGTGTGCAGGTGCAAATACAGAGAAGTCAAAGCTCACTAGTATCTAACTAACCCAGTTAATTAGAACAAGAACTTGAAAAACATGTTTGTGTACACACTTCACATACGATGCAATGTTCAAGGACCCATATGTAAATTATACTATAATGCTCCAAAGTTTAGAATATCCAACTCAATAGACAAATTAAGAAAATTAGAATCTACTTCAACACAAACTGGTTCTGACAAATAAGGCAAATTGCTGCTTTAGAATCTACTTGTTCTAAGTTCAAACACAATAAAAAGATCTTTTACACAGACGTAAAATGGATGTCAGGCAGTTACAAATAAATACTTACATTATGGGGTCCAATGATGGTTCCAGTCCAAGAACGCATGTAAATGTCATCTCCGTCATCCATACCATAGCTAACTGAGCCATCACCAATACCTTTTTCTCCCCTTTCAAGTTCCTCCAGCAATCTGAAGTTCCTTGGAACTGCATAGAAGCACACACATTTAAAACAACATAAACATAAGCATCTTCAACTAGAATAACACCAGTAACTAAGCATCTTGCATGCATGTCAATCAAATCAAGACAACAATATTAATAGAATCCTTTCTCCATAGCATGACCACTCCAAACTCAAAGTGTTAAAACTCAAAGGCCATTACATGTACACTTGAACATTGATAAGCACATCAAATGTACAGAAAACCGTTATTCAAGCATTGTAAGGACATAATTAACTCATACAACAAATGAAGCCCCCTCTATATTCACAAGACAACAAGAATGAATGTTTCAAACCAGCATTACCTCAGGATAACACTAACAATCAAAATTGTAATTTAATTATAAAAGGTGAAAACGAGTTTTCTCACATTGAACCAACTAATATAGACATATTTCTTCAAATTAAAACAGTGTCTCCGTATCGATGTAATGTATATTTGCTTCATAGCTAACTCTAGACGTGTAAGTGTTTGTGCCCATGTCCAAAACGAACACTTGTGATTACGTTTAATCTATTCATTTTTCCAAATTATTACCGGTGTCACAGTGTCGGTGTAGTGTCGTGTTTCGGTGTCCGTGCTATAGCTTAAACTTCAATGTGTGAAGTTTACGAAATATATCATCTGAGAACATGAGTACAGCATCTAAATCACATCACCGAATCAACGAATAACTACTAAAAACAAAGCCAATAAACAAGAACAGCAATGAAATGAAATATATAACTACACACACAAAAATCAACAAAATCTCAAACAAACAAACAAAAAAAACTTCTAACCAAAACGTAATCAACAATTAAAAACGATCAACATTTCAATTAGAGTTGATCATAAATTTAAAAAAAAAATTCAAAAATATTATTCACAGGAAATCATCAACAAAAAACACCGCAACATGAAGCATAAATCACCGATCCAAAATCCGTCCATAAAAAATCGAAACAAACAAAAAAACCCTAAAACCAACAAAAATCACACGCATCAAGAATTCTAGGTCAACGGCAACAACTGCATACTAAAAATCTACAGAGCAAGAAACGAATATTCAAGCAACAACATAAACAACAATCGTAATCGACGGAAAACAAAAACGGCGTCGTTAAAAGAGAAAGAAACGACGAGTTTGAACAGTGACTAACCGACGACACTGGATCCTGCTGAGCCAAGCGTCATGGATGATTATCAGAGGTTTTTCTCGGAGTGAGAGTTGCGGATCTGATCGGAAAATTGAAAACAGTTAAGAGAAACGATAAAGATGAAGAATAAGGGAAAGAGAAAACAAGAACGCGATTTGTAGGGAATAATAAAGGAAAAACAAAGGGTAAAGAGGGATTTGGTGGAACGAAATAGGAAATGGTGATTGGGTTGAGATTTTTGCTGAAACGGGATGGGGGTTTGTCGTTTTTGTTATGGGCCCTTGGCCCGATTTGTTTTCGGCCCATTACTTTTGTTTTTTTCATTTATGAAATGAAATGGATTTTTAATTTAAAAATTATTATTGGTTTAGTCTATTAATTAAAATCATTAAGTTATTAAAAATGTTTGGATGATTGTGAATTATTGAAGGTGTTGAACTTTTTATAATCAAACTATTAGTATTAAGCTCTTATTAAAAAGATGTAATTGGACAAAGAAAGGAATTTGGATATATAATTGTGTTTATTAGTTGGTCTTAGACTAAATAGGGTAACCAACTATTATGATTTGATTGTTTGATTTTTTTTGGATTTTAAATCGACATATTTCATTTTATTTTACAATTTTATTTCATGTGACATTAGCTTCAAAAAAATTCTTGAGATATATGTTGTGGTCAATTTTCACTTAGTTTTCTAACCATTTACTTTATTATCAAAAATTTAAGTTAATTTAATATTTTTTTAAGTTAGTTGATTAAAATATTTGATTTGTCTATGTTATAAAGAGAATAATAATTTATATTTTTGAAAAATTAAATAAAAAGAAAATATCGATTCCACGCTCTTTTCAGGTTCGAGAAACAATATAATTTCAACAACGATTGCACCCTTATAATCAGTAATATACTGAACCAAAAGTCCATAATAGAAACATCTTAGAGAAGCAAAAGCTTCTCTCCCACTTGTTTTAATCTCACTCTTGTAATAAACGATTAGAAAAGCAAGCAAGCACCGACAGTATTTCACACACGTGTCGTGTACTAAAGAACAAATAATATTAGATAACCTGGTCAGACCGACCGACCTGCTCTAATACCACTAACCTAACACCCTTCTAATCTCATGTGTATTATTCGTTTAACTTACGAAATAAATCAATTAAAGTCACCACACAAGGGTGACACACTTCATAACAAAACATCACAAATACATTTCTGCTCTGTAACATAGGTTACATCTATAATAATGACATCTCTTTATAAAATCAACTCATCACTTTAAAAACATAACAGCATAATCATCGTCATGGAAACATAAATAACTTCTCAAAATTCATGATATTTAGTCTCATCAATTATTAACATTAATTTAACCATAAAACTTTCATAAACTAAATCAACATCACAAAGAATATAATATTTGCATAATGTAGCGTTTCCAACCCGGTGTTACATATCAGAGCAAGACACCTCTAATTAACGGAAATAAATAACACACTTTATAGTTAGCCTTTAGGCTTCAACGAACTACTCCTGATCACATGCGCATTACCCACGTGGAGGCAACATTCAAACAGAAAGGGTGAGTAATCACAATTTATTATAAAAGACTTAAGGAAAAGATTAGTAGTTACAACAGCAACATCATATAACAGCATATATTATTCATCAATACTTCATATTCACAGATACATCATAAAATCACATGTACACCTTTCACCATCAAAATATCATATAATCACATAACTCACAATACCGTCACATAACAGCTCATCAACAAACTCATGCAATGTCGCATAGAATGTTAATGCAACACAATTGACTCAAATGCGTGTAGTACCAAATCATTTGATGAACACTTGGTCATCACCCTCCAAGGATCCCCACCATAGGATCAATTCTCTGTTGGAACCAGAGCACATCATAAATACACTCAATCCACACAGTGGGGTTGAGGCTCATCATAAGGAGAACACCTTCCAAAATAGCGGACCACCGCCAAAAATACTATGAATGCATGATGTATAACAACATCATATGAAAATTCGACCACGGCTAGTCAAGTACATCATCATTCACATAATCATCACAAAATCATCACATAGCATATATTGCATATTTAGAACATGCACATCATTATGACATCATCACAATACCATCATCAACATCACAACAATCTGATTAGCAGCGTCATCATCATTAAAACAAAATATCATAGCATATCAAACATATAATAAATCAATTTCATAAGTGTTAATTCTCTAATTTTAGTATTGGCATTAATTTTTGTAAAACAAATAAGACAACAATATGTTAGATAGGAGATATGTTTACTTGCTAACATGAACATGTTGAGCAAGAAGTCATATCTTATGTTGAGACATGTTGAGGTGAGAAGTTCTCATCATCTGGAACAACATGTCGTATAAGATATCCTATAAAGGAGCATACGACATCACGCCTAAACTGAAGTTGACAGTTAGATTCTGTTATGATTTAACTGATGTAAAATATTATGAGAATATTATGCAATCCTATGTGGTGTTGATTTAAAGGTCAAGAATAATCAAGTCAGAATATTAAAGAATATGCAGTTTCTAAATATGGGGATATTTTAGAAAACTAATTATTGAAGACCCTGTTTGTAGTAGAAGTTTTTGTTGGTTTGTAACAACTGATATATTGTGATTGAAGGCTCAAATCCAGTTGGGAATAGGTTATAAATAGAATCTTTGTAACCTAGTACTAGTACCAGCTGTGAATTTAAATATGTAATCATTAGGGCTAAGTTTGTAGCCACTCTCTAGGAGAGTTGGTGTAAGTGAATCACTCGGGTTGTGAGATGGTCAATGTATTCTTACTTAGAAGCTGTGAAGTAATGAGTTGAGTATTGTTCTTGGAGGAAGCTTTTAAGCAACTCTAAGTTGTATTCTTAGTTAGGATTAAAGTTGTAAACGATGGAGTTTAGCTTTAGGTCTAGACTAGGTATTGTCATAGAAGTGTGTCTTTTGTTTTATTGTCATGGAAGTGTGTCTTCTTGTGTTGTTGTCCAATCGCTGTCTGTGATTGATGAGGGACTGAGGAGGGTCTCATACCTAGGTGAGTCTTAGGTAGAAATATAACACGGGTAGTGATTAAGTAAGAAGTTGTAAATGGGGGAGTTTAGCTTCGAATTGATACTATCATAGTGGATTTGTCCCTAACTTGTTATGCCCCTAGAGTATGAGAGTTGCTCCGAACTAGGTTAACAACTTAGGTGTGTTATTTATTGCTTTTCAGTATTGTTTTAATATGTTATACCTTTCCTGTATGTTTTGTTCAAATCAGATGTCCCAATATGTCATAGGACATCTTAGTTCTGTTATACAAGAATTTCAATTGGTATCAGAGTAGGCATTCTGTTTGTTTTTGAATGAGATCCTAAGGGGATACTTTCTGGTTATGAGCAAGATAGAAGGTTTCTACTGATTTTTTTTTGAACTTAGAGAGTTCATATTGTTGTTTGAATGGTCCCTAGAAGTGGAGGATGAATTGTTCATGATAGGTGTGTATTAGACATGTTTGTGTTGTTTTAGGCATGTAGTTTGGTGGCAAGCTACTGTGTTGAGGGTTTAATTTTAAGAAGAAGAAAATTTTTGGTCATTTTTGGTTGATGCAAATCGATTGCACAATAGTGTAAATCGATTGTTCACTGAATGTTTTTAATTCTGACCTTTTTGTTTCAAGTGCAAATCGATTGCACCATAAATGCAAATCGATTGCACTCTGTGCGTTTCAGTTTTATTTTGATTCTGTTTTATGTGCAAATCGATTGCACCTGTATGCAAATCGATTGCACCTACTATAACTTGCTTTTATGATTGAAATTTTTATTGGTCAAAATTCCTCTCTCTCATATTCCCAAGCCAAATAAACTTTAATACAACCCATTTATTCCTATCTACTCAAATCATATCCAAATTTCAGCTCTCAAACATCCTTCTCTCTCAAAAAACCTAAAATCCTCAAAACCCTAAAATACCTTACCCATGGCTTCAAGACAAAAAAGAAAGGTGCCAGCTTCAGACAAAGGGAAGAAAAAGGTTGATTCATCATCTAATCCATTACTTTCATCTCTCACCTAAGAACAAGAAGCCAGATTCACAAAGGACTTTCAAAGGGAAATAATGTCCAATCCTAAATATGGTATGTTATCATCCTTTCCCCAAAAATGCTTCTCTTTTCAAAATGATTTAGCTGCTTATGGTCTAGAACCATTAATTTCATCTTTTGGTCCATATTATCCGGATTTGGTAAGAGTGTTTTTCAGCAATTTAACTCCCCAAAAAGGAAAAATGGTGACATATGTGCTTGGTACTCGTATCTCTCTAACTCCTGAGGTTGTTGGTGAGATTCTTCATATTCCTTACACTGGAAGTTCTCTGTATGACCCTGAAAACGAGGCATGGGATGACTACCGAAAAAAGGATTTCTATTACAACATTGGGAGATTAAGTGAAGTTGAATTCCGTGCCAAACGAATTCGTGGTCTAGGCGGAGTAATTCCATCCAGAGACTCCTGGAGTTCAGGTAAATTTTATATAGACAATCGACTATTTCATTACTTTATGGTCTATATTATGTTTCCAAGAGCTGGAAATCACTGCACTGTGACCGACTTGGAAATGCAGCTGATTTATGCAAGAAAGAAAGGGATAAGTGTTAACTGGGCAAGACTTATAATGGTGCATATGCTGAGAGTCGATGCAAAATTGAAATTTATACTATATGCTTATTTTGTTACATTAATTATGGAGGAATTTGGAGTGGATTTTGCTGGGTTTGAGAAAGTCAATATGGATCCAAATCTGCACAAGATTTTCATCAAGAATGTTGACTCAAGAATGGGCGTGCATTACAATCCGGAAACAAAAACTATCACTTACATTGGTGAAGATGTGGTTGGTGATGAAGGGAACGATCAAGAAGTCGAAGGCGGTGAAGTTGTACCTCCTCCACCTACTACTCCCTCTGGACCAAGCAATCAAGAGCTTAT